TGCTTTTCATTTATTATGTCCGACAAATTCATATAAATCTAAATTTTATCTGATTTATCATATGCTATATAATTTACGCGAATAATAAAAATTAATTTTACACTTAAATATATTGAAATAAATAACATTTTTATATGTTCAAATCAATTGCACATAAAAATATTAAAACTGATGGCATCAAAATATGRTTGATTAAAATTTAACTTGWTTATACTTATCCACAATGCATATRAATTTGTAAGTTTATAAATATTAGAAATCATATGATTTGTCAGACACATTTATATTTTGAAATATATTTATTCATTTAATCTCACGCTTGGCGTGGGTCAAAATCTAGTTACAACATAACTTGGGAGTTAGGACAATCCAAATTAAATACTTTGTTTTATTAGAACTGATTTAAAACAGATTATATCAACGAAGAAGTTCAACAAATGCGATTCAAAAAGAAACTAATGGTCTTTTCCACACCAGAAATCAAGTGAGAACAATAATCATTGACGACACATTAGCGATACCAAGATGATCTTGTTTCAAACCGAAGGTAGATGATTACGTGTTTCCGAATCCACAATAGCAGCCGGACTTCCAATATCTATTACGATAATATAATAACAATTCTCTTAATTTAGATTAATCTCCTTCCTTGATTGTCTTTGTCAATTTTGTTCCGAGTTAGCTTCAGTGAAGCCGCCGTTGAACAATTTTGAATCGCAAAACTTAAATCAAATATATAGCCAAAATTGACCCTACTAGATACTAGCAAACTATAAATCTTCTACGAGAAAAAAAAACTTCAACAAAATCTTCACCCATAAAACCTAAACCCAGTGAAGGAATCATAAACTAAATCCAATAAAAGGAATCACAAACTAGACCTACAAAAAAAAACAGACGGCGAATAACATCGTATTGTCTTCCAAACAAAAATTTTCATAGACATGCCTTAGACTTCATGTCGAACATAATCTTGATTAGCTACGAATATTATTACAACATAACTAAGGATAAGCCAAACATCGATTTATAATCTCTATCAGCTACATTATTACATCGTTAAAAATTCATCTTTGTTTAATTTAAACCCACACGTAAAATGCATTTATCTCATTTTGCAACATCTATCCAATTTAGAATCTTGAATATTTATGGCGTGCTTTACATAATTTTAACCGAATTAAAATATGCTTATTAGATATCTACTTTTGGTTTGTACTATCCGAACCTCTCAATTTCATATCATTTTCTAAGAACCTAGTTACATCGATGTGGTAGTTGATACTACGTACCATGTCATTAACTCAACTCATTTTAATATCCCGCTAACTCTAAGCCAAGGCCAGTGAGTTTAACATTTTGAGCTCACCAAGTTTTATGACCACATTGACTAGAGACTAGACTAATTTTGGAACCTAGCTTCATAACGACCAATGTCTTTGTGGATATCGAAATTATGCTTTCATATCCTGAATGAGAACAGAAGAACCAGCTGGAATCTATCAGAGATAGATCATTGCTTATCTTCTTTCCGACTTTAGGTGGAGAAAATGGCCTAAGATACTAAAATGTGTCAAATTCATGGCCAAAAGTAAGCAAGCAATGTGGGAGTGGTATGGTATGGCCAAAAGACAGAAGCATT